TTACGCTGCTTACCCTGCTTACCCTGCTTACGCTGCTTACGCTGCTTACGCTGCTTACGCTGCTTACGCTGCTTACCCTGCTTACCCTGCTTACGCTGCTTACGCTGCTTACGCTGCTTACGCTGCTTACGCTGCTTACCCTGCTTACCCTGCTTACCCTGCTTACCCTGCTTACGCTGCTTATTGCTCGGTAGCCAGCTTACATTCGCCCTTCGCTCTTCGCGTCGCAGTGTTGACGCTGACCCGTCCTCGAATCATTGACATCCACTCAGAGGAATCGATGGACGGGACATACCCGTGATGAAGAATTGTTGCTGCTGCTCCCAGCTCTCTACCAACACTTCCGGCACTTGTCGTAGCTGTATACGCAACAGTTGTGTGCACGTGGGGGCCACATCTGGAGCCAGTGGAGTTGATGTGTTGTAATTATTCTCGACTTTGGGGAATCAAATACGCGCTATGTGGAAAAAACGCTAACGTGTACCTTCAGAGCTGGAGCCCCGGAGTAGTGACACTGGTTTCCCACCATTTCGCGTCGGCACTGCGTTCGTCGCATTGGCTACGCTTATTTCATTTCTCCCGACCCTGGATTTTGGAGCGTATTTCGAATCGATTGCTGCTTGTATTACTCTGCGATTTGTGCAGGAGAAATGAAACTGCGACGTAGACCTATAATGGGTGCGATATGAGACGACAAGCTACGCAAGGTTTCTCATCGTTTTTTTAATTCGTCAAATTAGGAAAACAGATTAGGCTCCGTATAATGTCGGGTTCCCTCCGTGAATGTCTAGTTACTCAGTATGACGTAATATGTTTACGTACGAATGATATATATATGTTACGTACGATATATAGATATAGATGTGAGTATTATGTGATAATCTGACTCAGCATGAAACACGTTATAAGCTAATTACTTATATATATATATATATATATGTGTGTGTGTATATGTATATTTATATATATATATTATACTTTGTTCGCCCTCGCGCAGTGCTGTAGTAACTCACTATTCTCGCGCAGGTTCGTGGCTAGCGGGACTGCTGAGAGGGCAAAGGGAGTGGCAGTTGCCCCACCCGGAACAATATAGATACTATCGCGTGGTCGAATGTTACCGCGGCTACTAACTACTCTCCGTAAACTGCCCAGAGCACAAACCGCTCGCGGCTTCCCATCGGACGAAATAAGTTAGCAACGCCCCCTCGCAGTAATTGCGTATTCGAGCATTGTAACAAAAACAAACGTTTGAGCAACAACTGTCAAAATGCGGGTTTAATGTTCTTCGAAAGAACCGTTTTCGAAATTCTCGTGCTATTAACATATTATGGCAAAAAAAAACTGCGTAAAATCCGCATTATGCCGACCGCAAAGGCCGCGTGGTGATAGAAAACCGAGTAAAAGCAGTGAATTCCGCGAACGCATGGTTCGCTAATTATGCTATGACGCGTTATTCGCTCGAATAACTGCTGGGTTAGTGCGTTCGTAGCGAGAAGCCACTAACGGGGCCAGCGTGTGCTTTCCCATAGCTCAACGCGTGCGTCACAGTTAGGACAACGAAAGGTAAAGTGCGAACAGCGGACAAAAAGAACTTGGACGCACACATGACCCGCGCGCGTTTCTTGTCATTTTCAGAGTGCGTCTCAGAAAATAGAAAGCGTATTTTGGTCTCGCTAGTTCGATTTTAACATTCTCCAAGATTTTCAGTCGATTTTTGGAATATTTCGGGTATGACTTTATCCAAGTTGGCATAATAATAATAACAAAAACAATAATAATATAGGCGCTAGACATGTGGGTGCGCGGAAATGGTTGTCTTAGATTAGAAGAATAGAAGATAGAATAAAAGGAACAGTGCAAAAATACAGAAAATTGCTTTTTAGATTTTTTATTGTGAATAAAAAGTGGTACTCGGACACGCACAAGCACACCTCTATAGCTCATAATTACCTCTAGCTCGCTGCGTCTCGCTGCATGCGCTCTGCTCCATTTCCAGGAATTTTATCTGACTAACATCGCATCTTTGTAGACGGTTAGTCAGAAATGTACTCTTGATACTATTAACACTGCGCCTAGCATCAATTTAATCGCGATGATAAACATACATGCAAAAGAGGGGCGGAAGGAACATGCACACACATATAATTGCGTTTCTTTTATAGTCAGTAGCAACAGTCAGTAGACAGAGCGGTGTAGTCATTTTCCTTGCATTTACTTTTCTATTTCCCATCGTATAAAACAACTTCACTTTGTTAGCTTTGTAGTAAAAGCTAAATATATTTTCTAATACGATGGGGGAATTTGTTTTTATTTACTCCTGC